ATAACTAGAGAGATAAATAGATTTTAAAATCAGCTTTTGGATGTTTGAATCGAAATCCTTTGATTAAAGGCAAATCTTAGAACTGTAGCATCACAGCACTTTAGATGCACCATACAGAAAGTTATGTTAATTAAAGTTAGTCATTGACATTTGGCTGTTTTCTTTCAGCTGACCACAAAGATTTACCTTAAAGACAAGGTCAGGAGGGCAGAAGCTTCTGGTTCACTTGAAGGTCAATCTGCCAACAGTATTTAACTCAGCATTATAGTGCAACCTTTACCCGCTTTGATGGGGGAGAGGAAAGAAAAGGAGAATTACCTTACATAGGAGCAGCACCTCCCTTAATTCGGAAGTCCTTCCTGATCATTGGAAGTGTCCTGCATGCAGACAGGAGAGTTCTAGGACTTCGGAATCAAATAACAGATGCAATTGTTTTTAAAAACCAAAACGCGAACACACTGGCTTCCTCCTTTGCTTTAAAACCAACTTTTATTTTAAAGGTTAGAAGGATTTATTTTACAAAACTATCTTCCTTCCATTCTCTTTCAGGAAAAAGAGAGCCAGGGACGTGTGAGAACTTCAGGGAGTGATTAATCCAGTGAATGAAAAAGTGTCTTCCTCTATAAATGAAATCTAGGGGAGAATTTGGGTACCAGAGGCCTAAGTCAGGAGGCCAGGTTAATGTTAAAACTTTCAGACAGGCAGCTATCCAACAGATTAAGTGATGTGGATTAGAAGTTTAGGAAATATACGGGGAAAACTTCACTTTCTGAATATCTGCCTTTTTATCACAGTTGAAAGCATGATGCTCTCATGAGGAAAGGAAGGCAATTCTAACAAGACAGATAAGGAAGTTTATAGGCTAAAGGAAAATCTACTGTCAGCATCATCTTCTGGCTACACAGTTTAATCAGTTATGGTCTCTAATGGACTCTGCTCTGAAATGTGGACTTTATGAGAATTTTTTTCACAGGTGCTGATTGCTTTTCTTTAAGTGGCTGGGGATCTGTAAATTCTGGCCACAGGCAACTGATAAACAACTTTGTCATGGAGTAAAGTACCACAACAGCACAAGAGAAACATTTAAGTTTTAAAGTTTTGTGTAAGATTTTAAAGATTTATTTTTTTAACCTTAAAAACTAAATTTTTGAAAGATTGGACTAAAGAAACCATTGATGACTAATATGTCTTAGACTTGGTAATTGCAAAACAGAGAAGCTTGTATATTTTGCTTTGAAATTTGACTTTAGATTAAAAACAAATATTGTTCCGTTATCTGTCAATGAAACACAAACTTTTAAAAATTGCAGAGGAGAATCACCCTGGTGACCTGATGACACGGTGATCCCAACAGTAACTGGGATTAGTGCCAGTCAAACATCTATAAGGGATTAGAAGCAGGGCTGAAAAGAAGCTTATCGTCCATTGAAACCAGCCTGTTTTGATTTTTAAATAGAACCTTTGCTTTTACTTTGCATATTTTACTTTGAACCTCATGAATTTGAAAACAAACCCTTTAAGCATCTACTTTTCCTGTAAACTTCCTAAATATAACCATGTTCATTACTGATAATTTGGAAGAGAATTCAAAGTCTTATTATGTTCCTGTTCCCAGCAAAAATATTGGCATCAGGCCAACCATTCACCGAAAATCGCTTATGTTTTAGGAAGCCCCCCAAAGAACATGGCTTAACTGTGCACGCAATGCATTTCATGTCTATTTGGGTAGTTGAATTTTTAAATTTTTTAAAAAGTAAATTTGCGGTAACACCAATTAAAAATGAAGATAGCTGCCACATAGAGAAACAAGGATTCCCCTGCCACGAGGCGCCCTCTTGTGGCCAGGCATGTAAAGAAAATCCAAGATGGTGGACATGACCATGCAACTGAAACTCCGCCTCTTTTTGACATGCAACATTTCTTTATGGACAGATTCGTAGGCACATCATACAACCACGTCTATCTAGGGGACAATACAGGTAGTCCTCGACGTATGACCACAATTGAGCCCAACATTTATGTTGCTAAGTGAGAAATTTGTCAAGTGCCCCATTTTACGAATTTACTTGCCATATTTGTTAAGTGAATCACTGCAGTTGTTAAATTAGTAACCTGATTGTTAAGTGAATCTGGCTTCCCTATTGACTTTGCTTATCAGAAGGTCACAAAAGATGATCACATGACCCTGGGACAGTGCAAACATCATAAATGTCAGTCAATTGTCAAGCATCCAAATGTCAATCATGTGACCATGGGGATGCTGCAACGGTCATAACTGAAATATGGTCATAAGTCATTTTTTTCAGTGCCATTGTAACTTTGAACTGTTGTAAGTCGAGGACTACATCATATTCCCTGTTTTGAGGAAAAGACAGTACATCTCTCTACATGGAGGAGTGAGAGGAACAGGGACAGCACACAGCCGATATACCTTGAGTGGGCAAAACAACAAATTAAACATTAATTGCTTGAAACTGAAGCAATGCCAGTCCAGACACATAGTATAGGTACAATTCTGTCCACTCAGGTGATGATAGCTACTCAGGGGTGGGGTCTACTTACCTTTACTACCAGTTTGCAACAGGAGCGCACACACAGAAGCTTATGCACATGCGCAGATCGTCAATTATGACATCTGGGTGGGTGGGCGGAGCCTCCCGCCACTTTTACTACCGTTCTAAAGAACCGGACAGAACTGGGAGCAACCCACCACTGTACCTACTGAGAGATCTTGAAGTAGCACCATTCACTGATCTGAATGCTCATTGGGAATAGCTTAGTTCCACAACTAGGATGCTCATGGCCAGAGCTTCCAATTTTCCAAATTTAATTTTGAATTTAGGAAGATTTCAATTAGCAAAATAATCTCTCTCCCCGCCCCGCCCCCCCGCCCCCAAATCCAATCGTATCTGATTCTCAGAGACTGACTGAATGGGTCCATGCAGTTTTCTTGGCATGTTTTTTCAGTAGTTTCCCCCCTCGCTTCCTTCCTAAGGCTTAGGGAGAGTGACTGACCCAAGGTCACCCAGTTGGCTCTGTGTCTAAGATAGGACTAGAACTCATAATTTCTAGCTCGATGCTTTAACCACTACACCAAACTGGCTTTCTAAAATAAGAAATAGGAGGAAAGTGAGCAAGGTTTCACCAGTGGCACTGTCTGAACTATTGAAATACTGTAGTGAATTAAAAGAACATGTTCTGTAGGACTAACTTAGGGGTGATGGAAAATGCTGTTCGAAACATCGGAAAGACAGCAGATCGTGGAAATCCCATTTAGATAATGCAAAGAAGCTATTTGGGTGTCATTCCCCTCCAACACTCTAGGTGGTGCTCTACAAACTCCAGCCATCCCCCCCCCCAAAAAACAGGTTATAGGTACCCAATACTTCTAAAGATGCTAAAAGTTCCAGATATTTAATTTTGTTGTTTTAATTGCTTGAGGTTATTTTTGAGTACCATGTCCGTGCAGCAGGGCAAATATATCTGCCTTACTTCCTTTTGTTTAAATGATGACATAAATCAAAGGCAGCTTTTCCAATGTTCAGTAAGGCACCGTAATTGTTGAGTAAATTGCTTTCTTGCAACATTAATGGGCTAAGTTAATGGGAATCCCAGCTCTCAATTTCTTGGCATTACAGTTCACAACATGAGATGTTGCGTATTTGGCAGAACGCCTCACCATATGTCCACCTCTCAGTTTAGATGAGGATTAAGCTCTATTTGAGGGGCCAGGGGCCAGCAGACCACGAGAGAGAGAAAAAACAGCACAATACCAAAGCTCCACTCCTTTGGATTCTGACTCTCCCCAATGCCCCTTCCAGCCCGGATTTAATTTTTCTCAGGCCAACTGTTTAGCAGAAAACTATTTCCCCTATCAGGCGTTGTGCCAGGCAGTAAATATTTTAAATAAATGCAGAGCAAAAAGAAGTTCTGGCAGAATTTGTTTCTGAAAGGCCTTTCCTCCCACATCTTTTATAGGAATTTTATTTAGCAATCAGTTACCTACAGCAGAGCTATTCCGGATAGTGATAGCTAAAGTTGGGGCAGCCTGGTGATCAAGAAAAGGGAGCTGAAACACAAAATTATCACAATCCATCCCATGCATCCCTACACTATGTGGCAGGACAAGCAGCTTTTGCTGACCAGGAGCTCTGCTGGGTAACGGTGTGGCAGATGATGCCAAGTAGATATAGCAATGTCACAGAACTGGGTTTATTTAAAAAATAAATAAAAGGCAGGAAAAAACTGTTGCTGATTTTCAAGAGGACAAGAAGTTAGTTTTCGTAAAATGGAAGGGCAAAGAGAGGGGCAAACAATGGTCTCGGGCATTAAATATGCTGTTCAAGGATATTCCCTTTGCTGAAATGCACTCACTTTAAAACAGGCACAGCCGGCTGTAAATCCATTGCCAGCACAATGGCATCACGGGAGTTCCAATCCAACCATGTAGAAAGCATATCAAACTGAAGTTAATCTGGAGAGCTGAGTTTGGGCTGCACCATATCATTCTCGCAGGTAGGGGGAGCTCACACAGTGAAAAGCTGGTCTATACTCCCCCCCCCCCAGAGAGGAAAATGCTGCCTATGGAGAGGCAGAATAACAATAACTTGAGCCTAACTTTCTCCTTGCTGTATCAAATTCTTACATTTAGGTCTTAAAGGATTCCTAGCATTGGGGGATTGAATTACAATTTCTGATTTGCCTTTATGGTACTTGGGCCACCTACTCAACACCTACTCAATTTCCCGATGATCCTGTTGCAAGTCAAGTGGATACAGCTCTCCAATCTGATTTTGCAATTTGCATTATCTTAGTCTACTGTCAATCATATTTGCTAGAAGCTTTGGGCATCTTTTGGTCTACGCTCTAAGTCTCTGTCTTCCTCCTGTGTTTTTTTTTTGTTTGTTTGTTTGTTTGTTTTTTGAAGAGTAATAACCTTTTGTTCCTTATGTCACTTGTGTCCAACTTCTCTGTTCCTTTGTAGATATTGATTTTGGCTTAATTTACAGACTCCAGACATCATCAGATGCATGGAAATAACCTTAATTTATCAATTACATATATGCCCAGGTGGCAATAAATCCATAACTAATCCATAACTGCACGTGCTGTAAGAAATCATGTCAGACTCTTATAAGACTCTCGCTTATTCTTACTACAAGAGCTAATATAGCTACTCCTTTGGAAACTGGATATAGCAGCAAGCCATCATAGGTTCAATCTCAGAAATGAACCCTCCCATATCCCTTCAAGTGTAATGCTTTTCATTTTGCAGGACCCAAAGGAGAAAGAATTAAAAAAGCACGTATGATTATGAACCAGACCTAAGACATGCCATGCATAGTTTGCTTGACAACCTGGTACCCTAACACATGAGTAGCTTGCTTAATTAAAATAGGGTGAGGCTTTTGTGTCATGATCAGGCTGCTCACAGTTCAATTATACATGTGCCATACAAGCAGAATGTCTCCTGTTCAATTCCATCTGTCTCCATCTAGGAAAGACTCCAAGCTGAAACCATGGAGAGCCACTGCTAGGCACTCCCTTTAACACTGTACTTTGGGGTCATGGCAGAAACTGGAGAATAAATCTGTTCCAGACCTATCTTGTCTTCTTGTCTGCAATGCAGAATATGGTTACATTCATTGTCTTTAAATACAAAAAGCACATCCTGAAGCAAAGTCCGTTTCTGATCTATTTGGTTCCGTTTCTTTTGTTGGTTCTTGCTTTGCCAGTGCCTTTCCTTTCTGATGGCCATTCTGACTTGTACTTGGAACCTTTTCCATGCTGAAGGCAACACAGCTATGAAAGTTCTCTCCCTTCAGGAATAAAGCACAGACACCTTGTAAGGAAGCGATGGAGCAGCAGTCTTATTCAGAAGCTGCGAGGGGTGCTGAAGAATCTTCATAGGGCAGACTAGATCATGGATTCCCAAAATGTTCACTGCATCCCGTTTCTTTTGTTTGCTTGAGCTACATACCCTTAATCCTCATGTAGAACTAACACCAGTGTCTCCACCACTTTTTTCAAGACATTTACCTTTGGAATAAGACTTCTCTTAACCACAAGACAAAGTGATTATGCACTTCGTTGCAAAACAAGAAGTGCAACCAAAGATGATAGAAGACCAACTGATGCATATTTGTCCAAAGAAGAGATGCTAACAAATTCAGGGAGAGTGCAGTGAGTCCATCCTTTTCTCTTACTTCATAACCAAGAGGCAGGTGGAAGGGGCTTGCGCTGAAAGGAAAGTGGTGTTTTGCCCCAGAGGCCTGTCCTAGTCTACTCCTAAGATAGAGATGTAATGGAGATGTCCATGCATTCAGGCGTTGACCTTGCCTGCTCCACTGCTGCTTTCATGGCCAGCCTTCAGAGAATGGAAATAGAGTTGAAGATCGTCTACAGGGTGCACAATTGGCACGGTCTGCATTTTGGGGAAATGAGCCGTGGCCAATTCCCAGCTGGCTGTGCTGACCAATTCAACGGCAAGCATCTTGAGAATCACCTTGGCCAGTTCTTTGCCTATGCAACTTCGGACTCCTCCACCAAAGGGAATGTAGTTAAACCGGAGGGAGGCAGAAGTTTTGTGCTCCTCCTGGTCTTGCGGTGATATCCAAAACCTCTCTGGATCAAAAGTATCGGGGGGACTCTGGTAGATGCTGGTGGTCTCGTGTGTATCCCGAATACTGTACATCACACTCCAACCCTTCGGAATCTGGTAGCCCTTTAAGGAAGGGAAGGAGAGATGGAACAAAATCAGCACCACAGACAGCAGCCAGACGGATGAAACCTGTCTGAAAGAGTGAGCAAACATCCACAACAGTTTGAGCCAACCTTTTGGAGGGACAGCGCGAGCCTTACTTCATCCACTATCCATGTGCTTAGACGGGCTAACTTCAAAAATATTACTAACAATCTACAAAAACAACACTTTTTAAAAATGTGGATTTTCTGCTACCAAGTGCTGCCATTTTAGATGACTAAACAGCAGAGAGAAAAAATCACGAATAGACCATTTTTTTTCACTAAGTTTATCTCTTTCTCCTTAAAGATGTCATTTTATTTTGTGCTTTATATATTTTTAAATATCTTTCTGAACACTGCTGCTATAGGTCAAGGAACGTGGGAGCCTGTTTATTTAAAAATATATCACTATTTCACAGTTAGTTAAAATTACAGTCCCCGTGAACTGAGATATTGATGGCCATGATATTAGCACTGGCTTGGCATGGCTGTTCCAAGTGCCATTCCAGATGAGAGCAATTGTAACTAGCAGTTATATTGTTCTCTCCCCGCTTTTTTCGTGCTTATGGATCAGTATTGACTTCTGGAAATGTACAAGTACTAGTTTTGTTGCAACATTTTTGAAACTGGCTTGTCCTGACCTCCTATCTGGGGCAGAGAGAAAGGGACTGGCCCAAAGTCACACACACACAGACACACATCGGCTTTAGACTATTCACAATCTCTTGGCTTCTAACCCGGCACCTTTAACCACTACACCAAACTGTTACAGTTATTCTTCCTAAATTCTGCCCAATAGACACAATCGTTTTGATGATCTGAATGAAGCATTCGTCTTGACCTCACTCCTCTCTCCAGTTCTCAATCTTATGAAAAATATGTCGTGCTCTGGATTCTATCAAATTAGACCATCGATCCATCTTGCCCCAAACTGCTAACAGGATCTGATAGCAGCTCCTCCAGCATTTGAAGCAGTACAGTATTTCTTTCCATTGCTAAAATAGTAATGCCAGAAACCAAATTGGAGACCAGCATACAAATATTGCTCGGACGCTCTTTCTGTGGGCCCTTTTCTACTTGACTTTTCTTCACAAACCTCTTTACTTTTTATCACAGTCCACTACCCAGTACTTGGAATCTTGTTTACTGAGCTTCTATGTTTCCCATCCCTAGTTACAGTACTTACAGTCCATTTGAGACATCCTTTCTCATACACCAAAAGGTCACCTTCCTACAAATGCCCCTGAGATTCCTCACATATCTGCTGGCTGTAAACAGAAGAAGTTCTTGGAATTACTAGGAAACAAAAGTGCTGTTCCTGGATTCCCATATAAAATACACAGCCTAACCTTCTAATATCCAGGTCAACCCAGGTTCCTCACACTTCCACCAAAAGGTTAGAGAGCAAGCCACTCAACTCACATCTAGCTCAAAGGTTTGTAAGGCTGTCCTATACCCTCCAGATACTGGGGGCAGCAAACGGAGAACTTCTTTAATGACACAATCCAAGTAGCGCAGACGATTCAGCTTCTCCAGGGTCAAGTAAGAATGGCAACAATACTCAGATCTTTCCAGACTGCTAAAGAACTGGCCTGTTTCTTCGAGCCTGGACAATGAGCTAGGACCATTTGCAGTTCCATAGACAATATCCTGGGACACTTTAGCCATGACGTTCATATTAGGTCCTTTCTCTTCCATCTTGGACTCTTGTCCTTGTTCTCTTCCCAATCTGGATGGAAGAGGCAGTCTGGAGTCACCATCTTTGTTTTCCTTCTCATGTGCAGGCAAAGTTTTTTGGCCAGACTGGTAATCTGTTAGGAAATCCTCAGCTGCAAAGCACTGACACTGCCCAGTAAGGCCATTGGAGGTCAGTTCCTGCTGGATCTTTTTTATGACCAATGGGTGTTGCAATAAGAGTAAGATCATAGAAGTGGTGGCGCTGGCAGTGGTGAAGAAAGCTGCAAATATTAGTTCAATTGCAGATTCCTGTAAGGCAAGCCATGGAGATACATGAATTAGAAGACTGTTCCTCTTATTATAGGGTTAGAGATAGGCCTATCTATTATTATTATTAGATCTATTAGATCTTTCTATTATTATAGCTAGGCGGCAAATAAATATTACAAATAAATAAGTTATGCATGCTATTAATAAATTGAATGTCTCTTGTGCTTTCATCTCAGATACTTTGTGATCAGAATTTAAATAAGACATTACTCAGCCTTTTAAAGGAAAAAAATGCTAATTTTAAAATCTAAATCAAGAGTTTTGAGGATTCTAGGAGTTGCTATTGGACACTTATCGAAATGTTGGTGCTCTGAAAGCCCTTGGCAATATGCTCACAATATTTCCCTATGCTTAACATGGCCTGCTGAACAATGAGCAGCCGATTCAAGTTGCTGGATGAGCCACTGCCCAAGGAGCTGCAAGCAGTAGACAGTAGTTGCTGTCAGTCACTGGAGATGAGGAGACTGAGCTGCGAACACCATCACTCCAATTCCCGCAAGAGTTCCCTGTGTCTAGGAAAGCTGCTCTGTAAGACTTCTTGCAAGAAAGGATCCTTTGCCCTTCCTATTTAAGAAGAGCAGCAAACTCGAGCCTCTCTGTTGGCAACAATGGTTTGTTTACCCAGATTCCACATGCCTTCACTTGAAACTTCATGACTTTTCATTCTGGACCTAGACTGCCTGATGAACCTTCTGCAACATTTAGCCCCTTGGGACTTCACTCAAACACTTGCTGGACTTTGGGGGGGACTTATATTTGTGTCTGTGGTTTGTGTGTGTGTGTGTGTGTATGTGTGTGTGTGTACGTGCACACACATGCATTTGTACTTGCATTTCTATATCTATGTTCATGACCTGAGGCAGGACAATGCAGTCTAGTCTAGTCTAGTCTAGTCTAGTCTAGTCTACTCTACTCTACTCTACTCTACTCTACTCTACTCTACTTTTTTTAAAAAAATAATTTTTATTGAACACTTTTTTAATACGAGCAAACAAACAAACATACAAACAAACAACAAACAAAAATAGATATTTACATTTCTTCTTTTCAACATCTTTGCATCAGTAATCTATATTTATACATTTTCTCTTTCTTATCTTAATCTATCTCTTATACATATATTCTTAGTAAATCATATATTTATATTTTCTTAATCTAAATATTTTACTTTTAACATAAACAGGTACCTAGTTTCCTTTCGACAATGTATATCTTCCTATTTATTTCCATATTTCTCCACCTAATTTAACCATTGTTTAGTTTTCTTTTGTTCCCCCCTTTTTTTCTTTTCCCCCTTTCTCCTCCAACCATTTATACCATTTCTCCCAGACTAAGTAATAATCTGTTTCATCTTTTTCTTGTATCTCCTTTATGAGCTTATCCATTTCCGCACATTCCATAATTTTTCTAATCACCTTGTCTTCTGATGGTATGTCATTGTTTTTCCAGTTTTGGGCGAAAACTATTTGTGCTGCTGTCAATATGTGAATAATTAAGTATCTTATTTCTTTTTCATATGTACTTGCATTTCTATATCTATGTTCATGTCTAGTCTAGTCTAGTCTAGTCTAGTCTAGTCTAGTCTAGTCTACTTTACAGAATAGAATAGAATAGAATAGAATAGAATAGAATAGAATAGAATAGAATAGAATAGAATAGAATAGAATAGAATAGCTGGAAGGGACTTTGGAGGTCTTCTAGTCCAGCCCCCTGCTCAAGCAGGAGAACCTATGCCATCTCAGACAAGTGACTGTCCAATCTCTTCTTAAAAACCTCCAGTGATGGAGCACTCATGATTTCTGAAGGCAATTCACTGGTTCATTGTCCTCGCTGTTAGAAAGTTTGTCCTTAATTCCACATTGCCTCTCTCTTTGATTAGTTTCCATCCATTGTTTCTTGTCCTGTCCTCCGGTGCTTTGGAGAATAATTTGACCCCCCCCCCTTCTTTGTGGCAGCCCATCAAATACTGGAATACTGCTATCATGTCACCCCTAATTTTTCTTTTCTTTAGCCTAGCCAAACTCAAAACCTGCAGCCGTTCTTCATATGGTTTAGTCTCCAGGCCTTTCATCATCTTAGTTTCTCTTCTCTGAACTTTTTCCAAAGTCTCTGACTGCTCCCCCAATTTTCCTCTCTCCCCCTTTCTCTCTCTTTCCCTTTCTTTAAAGTACTTAAGCGTGACTACAGAAGAGGAGGAACATACGAACAAGAGAGGACCTTTGTGGTGTTGTGTGTCTGGGTACATGGACGAAGTTCAAAGTATTTGGAAGGAACAATACTGATTGGTTTGCATTTCAGCATCAATGTTTGATAGGAGCACCTTCAATTAGGGGTCAGAAATAAGTAGTCAGTATGAGTGAGAAGAATAGAAACCATAAGAGGAAAATCCTTGGGATTTTTCCCCCCAAACTGTATAGTGATAGCAATAGCATTTAGACTTATATACCACTTCACAGTGCTTCACAGCCCTCTCTAAGCAGTTTACAGAGTCAGCAGATTGCCCCCAACAATCTGGGTCCTCATTTTACCAACCTCGGAAGGATGGAAGGCTGAGTCAACCTTGAGCCTGGTGAGATTTGTACTGCCAAATTGCAGGCAGCTGGCAGTCAGCAAAACTAGCTTACAGTACTGCATTCTAACCACTGTGCCACCGCGGCTCTTGCAGTACTAATTGAATTATCTAAGGACAATTTCCAGGTAGAATGTATGATAGTAATCTAATCTGGATGTAACCTAGTATTTGAGGGTATGGATTGGCTCCAACCCAATTCAATTCATACCATTTACCTGATTTTGGGGGGGGGGGTCACATTGAGTCAGTTCAAAGGCATTCAATTGGACAATTCAATTTGACTTTCCAATTTGATTCAGAAACTCAATTCAAATAGGAGATTTAATCAAAATCTCAAAATCAAAGCTTTACATATTCATAGCATTTATAGCATTTCCATATTTATTTAAACAGCCATTATTCCTCAAAGAAACAGAGCTCACTTGGCTTAAAATAGTTTAGAAAATATGCACTGGATTGAACGGCACAAAATCAAGCTACTACCTGAGCCAGGTTATCGCTTCTTATGCTAATAGAATGGAGAATAAAGCAAAATAGATATACAGGTAGTCCTCACTTACTGACCAGTTATTCAGCGACCATTCAAAGTTACAACAGTGGTAAAAAAAGAGATTTATGTCTGGTCCTTCCAATTGCAGCTATGGCAGTATCATCACAGTCATGTGATAGAAATTTAATGGCTTGGCAACCTGTGTGCCTTTATGGTGGCTGCGGTCACGTGATTGCCATTTGCAACTTTCACAGCCAGTTTCCCATAAGTCAATGGGGAAGCCAGCAGGAAGTCACAAGTCACATTGCAGTCAGAAAGTGAGGGCCACCTGTATGGTCTAAATCAGGGGGTCAAACTCAAGGCCCGGGGGCAGGATCCGGCCCATGGGGTGCTTAGATCTGGTCCATGGGGCTGCCCTGGAAACAGCGAAGGACCAGTCCACAGTGCCTCCCAAGCTCCGTTTTCACTGGCAGAGGGTTGCAGGAAGCTGTCGCAGCCAAAAATGGCGCTCAGGAGCCCATTTTTGCTGGCAGAGCGCTCAGGCCACTACAGCCACCCGTGACACAAGTGGCTCCCAAGGTCAAACACAACCCTGACGTGGCCCTCAATGAAATTGAGTTTGACACCCCTGGTCTAAACCCTCAATCAGGTGCTTTACGTGTGTGTGTGCCTCCAGAAGTTGTAAATGCTCCAACACTGGATGTTTTTAAGAAGATATTGGATAACCATTTATCTGAAATGGTATAGGGTTTCCTACCTAAGCAGGGGGTTTGAACTAGAAGACCTCCAAGGCAGTGGTGAAATCCAATTTTTTTTACTACCTGTTCTGTGGGCGTGGCTTGGTGGACATGGTGTGGCTTGGTGGGTGTAGCTTGGTGGGCGTGGCAGGGAAGGATACTGCAAAATCTCCATTCCCACCCCACTCTGGGGCCAACCAGAGGTGGTATTTGCTGGTTCTCTGAACTACTCAAAATTTCTGCTGCCAATTCTCTGAACTGCTTAAAATTTCCGCTACCAGTTCTCCAGAACCTGTCAGAACCTGCTGGATTTCATCCCTGCTCCAAGGTCCTTTCCAACTCTGTTGTTCTGTTCTATTCTATTCTATTCTATTCTATTCTATTCTATTCTATTCTATTCTATTCTATTCTATTCTATTCTATTATTCCATTCCATTCCATTCCATTCCATTCTCTCTCACACACACATGCTAAAACCAACTTCTGAGTGACTGCTGACAAATGTTTGTAGTCTATGAAGCTACAGTATCCTGAGACAACTGACCACAGAATCTTCAGGATCAGTAAACATTAGGAGGCCAGGCATTAGCTATTCCATAAAAATATTTCCACCCAGACCTCCTGCAAAATTATACCAGCTGAGAAACCATCTTCCACCAGGGGCTAATGTCAAATCCTGCATGAAACCACTGATCCCCAGGAGCATAAAAATCCTCACCTTCAATTCCTGCATAGTGAAATCTTGGCCGTGTTCTTTGGCGCTGTTGATGATAAAATCCAGGGCATCGCGGTGAGCTTCAGGATCTTTTCTCTGCAGTTTCTCCAAGATGGCTTTCTCCATGTAAGTATGTAAAAGATCACGAGCCTTCATACCCTGAGGAACAGAAGATGGTTCAAAGGAGAAGAGCACAGAAATCTGGTTCAGAAACTCATTCAGAAAATGGAATGTCTTGAAGTTCCAGTAAGAAAGCAGTAGACTGCTTAGAAAGTTCCAGAACTTTATTTATGTTGCCTTCTCCAAGTAATAAAAGCTCAAGTTAGCAAGAGGGCTTTATTTTTTCTCTTGACTGAGAGGAAAACAACTAAGCCCTGTTAGAAGCAAGAAAATGGGAGACCCTGAATTCTAGTCCTACCTTTGGCACAAAACCAGCTGGGTGACTTGGGCCAGTCACTCCCTATTAGTCCTAGAAAGCAGGCAATGGCAAATCTTGCCAAAAAAACCTGCTAGACTAGACCAGGCAGTTACCAGTAGTGAACTCTGACCTGAAGGCACGAAATAAGCAAATAAAGTCTTACTGAACCCACAGGAATTTATTCCTGAGATAAATAAATATAAATGATGCTACAAAAGAACTGAAGTTCTAGTCTCTTTGGATAGATCAAGAGAGCTAGTGGCTTTGTTTCCATAATTTGCTGAAGGCTAAGTATGGAAGCTCACTGGGCGAATTGGACTAGTCATTGCTACTGACACCCTGAGCACAAATTAGCTCACTAATCTCTTGTGACAAACCCAACACATTGTGTTTTTAGTCTGCCAAACCAAATTAGCTGATTAGACCATGATTAAATTCACATTGGGTCACATAGTGTCTTGTGAACGCAGTCCAGTCAGTCTAGTTCAGTGGGGAAATTGAAAAAGATTGTGCTATATAGACAGGTTTGAGCTTCTGCAAGAAAGGCTCATTCAGATAAAATTAAATTATTTTATTACCGGTAGTTTCCTTACAAATAATAGAAATAAAAGGTGGTGTGGCTTTGGCCTTCAAAATCACTCCTTTCAAATAAAGCCACTAATGAATTAGGTAGCCTGGGCAGAATCCTTATTCCACAAGTTATGGCCCTGTTATGAAAAGTTGGTTTGGCTTCCATAAGCTTTCTCCATGCTCTGCCTCTCTTAGAGTTAGCACAAGTGCCTGGGCAACATTTGCTATCCCCGTGGCCTCTGCTTATCCTGCCTGTATTGCATCTGCTCCAAATTACTGGCATGTCCTAATTTGCAATTGTGCCAATTCCGATAAATAAGGTGGGTTTTTTGGGTTTTCTGCCATCCTCTTTTAGGATGTTGGAATCACCACAAAACCACCAGCCATCATATCACCTACAGCCTGAATAGGATATGGACTGGCTTCTTGGACTTCTCTTCTGATCTGGGCTTTTCCCAAATTCCAAAAAATTGGGGGGCGTGGGGACTGGGAAACTATGGAAAGAGAGGGCACACAAATAGCCCAAAACAGATCCTGTCATAATTAGGCAACTATAGATTAGAACAGGAATGGATGGAATGGAATGGAATGAATGGAATGGAATGGAATGAGATGACAACAACAACAACAACAACAACAGGAGGAAGAGGAGAGGAGGAAAAGAAAACAATAGGACATCAAGGCTTACTGAATACAGAAGAGACGAAACAAACTGGCTTACAAGAAAACCTAAAATAGAAAAGAACTCAAGAAAATCACATAATACACCTAACATATAGATGTGGAACAGCTGTGACAAAAGAAAGTGAAGATAATACCAATAGTAATAGGTACCTTTGGTGAAATCCCCAAACATCTGGGGCATCACTTGAACATCATCTGCACTGACAAAATCACCATCAGTCATTTGCAAAATTCAGCTTTATTGGAAGAGTTTGCATCATGCAATCATGATGCAAACAAAACACCATCAAACAAAATCATCTTCCTATCCGAGGAAGGATTCAATAGCTGGAATGCTAAATCCAGTCTAAACATCGGCTGACAGTGTGACGAACCATAACAACAGGCAAAATAATGTGAAAGATTATTTACAGAAGTTGAATTGGAAAAACTGCAAAGGTTTTCCAAGGGCAAAGAAATCAAAGCCTTCTCAGAAGTAGCTCAGACTGTGGAGGAAAATCAAGGGGAGTCAACCATAATGGAAGCCTGATCAGCTATTGAATTGTTTTCATTCCCAAACCTGGCACCCATCACTCTGACCTCTCCTCAGAAAGAGCAAAGTCCTCTAACAAAAGAAGAATCAAAGCAATGAATAACTGAGCATCTAGAATGGTACAAAAACAGCAGAAAAAGGTTGCCTGTATTGAAGTTTGCTCTACGGAATCAGCTAGCAGCGCAAGTATTAAAAAGTGCCAATACTGTAACATCAAACATAAGAACCAGCTCACTGCAAGGAACAAATGCACAGCACAGCTGCAGTTATGAATGAATACCTGGCACGCAAAATTAACAAACAAGAAAAAAAGCCAAGCAGTGCAATATCAAAATAAAAGATCGAATAGCATCGGCATGCTAAGATCCGATGCAAGCAAACTATAATAGATGGGGGGGGGGGGGAGAAGAGCAACAAGAAAACAAAACAAAACAAAACTGATCAAGAAATATGACCTAGAAACAAGGAAGTTCAAGAAGCACTGGAAAGAATAAAGCAGCAAACAACAGCTGCAGTATATCCAAGAGGATAAGCAGATATGAAGCTTGACTTGTACATTATAGGCAGAATCTCCATTCAGTGGAATTAGAAATGGTTCTGCCAATCCATCAATGGACAGACTGCAATGAACTAATCCACGCCCAACAAAGAGAAGATTCTGGGAACAGCTATGGAACAACCCAAAGAAATACAAGAATGCAATCCCAAAGGTGCTTTTTTCAAGAGGCAACTGGACTTTCTGGTTTTTCTTTGAAGACATTTTGCTTCTCATCCAAGAAGCTTCTTGGATGAGAAAAAGCACCTTTGGTACAACCATGAACTGGATGACCAAGAATCTCCATAGACATCAAGAATGCAGCTTGGATAAAGGATGTGGCTAAGAATAAAAACAAAGCTGAAATGAAAGAACTTGTAAAAACAGCAGAAATGGTGGCGAAAAGAGCAAGGAAGATCAACAATTGGTCAGCAAATCATCCTAATAATGAAAGATCCAACAAAAGGGGCAGCACCAGAAAAATACAAACCAATTACCCGCTCACTACTTGAACAAACATCAGCATTGACAAAATCACCCATCAGTCACTTGCAAAAGGCAGTATTACCTAAAACAGCTTATCAAACTACATCTGCCTTCCCCAGGTTCTTTGGGAAAGGACAAAATAAGTGGATAAAACTGTCAAATCCAATCTAAACATCTGGCAGTTTTCTTCTCTTAACTTGCTGGCAGCTGGCAGAAGTTGGTTTCAGAAACCTGAAGGTTGGGAAGCAATGGGAATGGAAGGAGCTCAGGATACAAAGGGTAAAAGGAGAGAAATGTGTGGGTAGAAAGGTTTCTCGTGAAACCTGTGACCCAAGTGCAGGGAGGGTCATAGAGGAATGATGTCTTTGACTCTAGTCCATTATTACTTTGGACACTCCACTGTTGCTCAGAATACATTGAAGGCACTATTCTAGCCTTCCACCAATCGAGCAACTCCCAGAGTGCAGCTTGACCCCAGTTCTCGAGATCAATTAGTCCAACTACAACTGGAGATTTGGAAAGGCTGGGTTGAAGAGGCGGCTTTGTGGGTTTGGAGAATGCTGTTGTCAGGTGCACCTCAATTTTTTTAAAAAAAATTTGATTTATATGCCGCCCTTCTCCGGAGACTCAGGGTGGCTTATAGTGCGTTAAGCAATAGCCTTCATACTTTTGTATATTTATACAAAGTCAGCTTATTGCCCCCACAAACTGGGTCCTCAATTTACCTACCTTAGAAAGGATGGAAGGCTGAGTCAAACTTGAGCCTGGCAAGATTCGAACTTACTTTAATTGCAGACAGCTGGTGTTAAATTACAGTGCTTTTGTCTGCAGAGCTATCCAGCTATCCCTTTCACAGGGAAAGGCAAGAGGGCGATAACCAGAGTTAATGCTATTTTCTATTTGGAAGACTTTGGGTCCTTCTGCAAGTTTGCATGCTGGCATCTCATCTGTGCCACAAATCAATCCCTATTAAGCAAATTTAAAGGAGCAAGGGGCTTTTTTCCACCTTCACTAAGCCCCCCCCCCCAGTGGTGTATTAACCATTAAGCAGACTAAGCACGTGCTTAGGGCACCAGACCCAAAGGGGGCACCACAAAGTTGAGAAAGGAAAAAAAAGACCAAGGAAGATTTGTACAATATGTACAAAGGAGGGGATTTGTCAGTGATTTGTCAGTGTTTAGGGCACCAGTGAGCCTTAATCCTCCACTGCCTCCCCCCCACCGACTCCCGTGCAAGCAGAACTCCAGAGCCATTGAGGAAAAGGATGACACCTGTGTGTGTCTGTGTGTGTGTGTGGCTGTGTGTGCCACCTCCGCCGTCAGGTACCTTCCTCAATCCGCTGAAGGGGACGTTGAGCGGCAGGCTAAAGAGGTTCTCCACCAATTGCTCGAAGGCCCCGAAAGCTCCTCGAAGTGCTCCTCTTCCAGCCGGAGGCCCAGCAGGATCTGTGCAGCGATGCGGAAAGTCAAGGCCTTGGCCGAGGCGTAGACGGCGATGGGTCCTGGGTGGCGGCACCAACCGCGCAGCTCCCAGATCACCAGGCGTTGGATTCGGGGCAGGTAGACCTCCAGGGCAGCGCGGCTGAAGACGTGGGCCAGGATCTGCGCAACGGAGGGAGAGGCAGAGCGCGGGAGGTGAGGCAGCCCAATGGGGGAGAGAGGGGAGTGGGGGGGACTCCTCGGCTGGCCTTGGGGAGTCCCCGGTGGGGAAGCCACAGGGAGAGGTGTCTGAAGCTTCTCCCCGACCGGAGATGCCCCGGGGAAAGGCTGGGCTTCCGAGGGGTAGCGGGGCTGGGAGACTCCCTGTGCTTCGATTCAACGTGGAGCAGCTTAAGAGTCCATCAGTTTAGCCCAGGGCTCCCCAACCTTGGCAACTTGAAGCCTAGAGGACTTCAACTTCCAGAATTCCCCAGCCAGCAAAGCTGGGAGTTGAAGTCCGCCAGGCTTCAAGTTGCCAAGGTTGGAGAGCCCTGGGAAGCGCTGGAGAAACTGCCCATGTGCCACTCTCCAGATAGGCATAGGTGAGCATAGGCCATCATGCCCAGCCTCATGCCCAGGTAAGCATAGCCCATCATGCCCAGCTCACGCCCAAGTGAGCATAGCCCATTGTGACCAGCCTCACACTCAGGAGAGCATAGCCCATCATGCCCATCCTCACGCCCAGGTGAGCAGAGCCCATCATGCCCAGCCTCACGCCCAGGAGAGCATAGCCCATCATGCCCATCCTCACGCCCAAGTGAGCATAGCCCATCATGCCCAGCCTCACGCCCAGGTGAGCAGAGCCCATCATGCCCAGCCTCACGCCCAGGTGAGCATAGCCCATCATGCCCAGCCTCACACCCAAGTGAGCATAGCCCATCATGCCCAGCCTCACACCCAGGAGAGCATAGCCCATCATGCCCAGCCTTGCGCCCAGGTGAACATAGCCCTCATGCCTAGCCTCACGCCCAAGTGAGCATAGCCCATCATGCCCATCCTCACGCCCAAGTGAGCATAGCCCATCATGCCCATCCTCACGCCCAAGTGAGCATAGCCCATCATGCCCAGCCTCACGCCCCAAGTGAGCAGAGCCCATCATGCCCATCCTCATGCCCAAGTGAGCATAGCCCGTCATGCTCAGCCTCGCGCCCAAGTGAGCATAGCCCATCATGCCCATCCCTCACGCCCCAAGTGAGCATAGCCCATCATGCCCATCCTCACGCCCAAGTGAGCATAGCCCATCATGCCCATCCTCACGCCCAAGTGAGCATAGCCCATCATGCCCAGCCTCGCGCCCAGGTGAGCATAGCCCATCATGCCCAGCCTCACCGAGGCCCTGCGGTCCAGCCCCCCAACCCGGCCAGAGCAACCGTTTGAGTGCGGACCGTCCGGGCAAGACAGACGGTACCCCCGCCGCTCCACCCCCGCCCCGCTCACCTTCCTCCGGTGCCGGTGCGCCTCGGCGTGGGCGTTGAGCAGCGTGTGGGAGCCCAGCAGGATCTGGGTGCTGAGCGGCCACTGGGCGCTGACCAGGCTGTGCTCGCCCAGCAGGATCTTGCGCACGTTCTCGGCGCCGCTCACCCGCACCACCGGCCTGCCCAGCAGGTGCGTCTTGAACACGGCGCCGTAGCGCTGCCGCCGCGAGCTGTGAAAGTGGGAACCCTGCTCGGTCGGGGGGGGAGCGGTGGGGGGAGAGAGATGGAGAGGGGGAGGGAGGGAGGGAAAGAGAGAGGGAGAAGAAGGGAGAGAGAAAGAAAGAGTCAGAGGAAGAGAGGGACGGCGAGGAAGAGAGACAGGGAGAGAGGCAGGCAGGCACAGAGAGAGAGAGAGGGAAAGAAAAAGAAAGGCAGGGAGGGAGAGGGAGAGAGAAAGAAAGACAGAGAAGGAGGGAAAGGGAAAGAGAGGAAAGAGAAAGAGGGAGAAAGGGACGGTGAGAAAGAGAGACGGAGAGAGGCAGGCAGGCACAGAGAGAGAGAGAGAGGGAAAGAAAAAGAAAGGCAGAGAGGGAGAGAGAAAGAGAGACAGAAAAGGAGGGAAAGGGAAAGAAAGAGACGGAGGAGAAAGGGACGGTGAGAAAGAGAGACGGAGGGAGGGGGAGGGAGGCAGGGAAAGAGAGAGACAGAGAACGAGAAGAAGGGAGAGAGAAAGAAAGAGACGGAGGGAGAGAGGGACGGTGAGAAAGAGCGAGAGGGAGGGAGGGAGAGAGATAGAGGGAGGGAGAAAGAGAGGGAGGGAGGGAGGAAGACAGAGAGATAGAGAGAGGGAGAGGGGGACGGAGAAAGAAAGAGAGAGGGAGAGAGATAGAGGGAAAGAGAAAGAGAGACAGGGAAGGGGAGAAGGTCGGAGAGAGAGAAAGAGAGGGAGGGAGGGAGGAAGACAGAGAGATAGAGAGGGAGAGGGGGACGGAGAAAGAGAAAGGGGGAGACGGAGAGGGAGAGGGAGGGAGATAGAGGGAGGGAGAGGGAGAGTGAGTCGGGTGTCGGGGGCAATTGGCAAATTACCGCTGCCTTTTTGCGCCGCTAAAGGTCGACAAGCCCAGGCTTTCTCTGCGCTTGCGCAGAGCACCTTTCTCTTGGCGCCCAAATCGCTCCGCTGCTCAGCTCCTGCGGGGCTCAGCGGGCACCTGCGGCGGGCAGCTTTGATCCCAGAGCGCGCGAGATCGCTCCCGACGGGAGGGCCAGTTTCTTTGGGGGGGCTTTAAACCCTCTTTGTCCGCCCAGCTTACGGGGAGCCTGAAGTGGCGACGAGCCTCCCCTCCCCTCCCGGCCGATGGGCTCTCCGATGCCGGGGATCAAAGCCAAAGGAGGGAGGGGGGAGGGGCCGGCTGAAGCTCCCTTCTCCTCCTCGCCCCAATTTGGGGAAGAGCAACTCCTTTCCAAGTGGGCGTCTCTCTTCCCAATAGGCGGAAATAGAGAGCGCCTTGTGGAGACTCTAAAATGGAGGGGGCTCTTAAGCATGTGCAGAGTGCCTGGCCTTCAACCCGCAGCAAAGGGAAGGCAGCGTTTCCGGGCTTTAAGGGCTAGGAAAACCCGGGTTCAAGCCCAGGAAAGGCTTTAAAGCAGCCCCTCCCCCAAGGGACCGACGGGAGAAGGTAACCCCGGGGTGGGCACCCCCGCCTTGAGAGCCCCAAAGGCGGCGACGGGGATGGGCCGCCCCGTCGCGGCTGCTCACCTGGATCAGCCAGTGCAGCGTCTCTCCGAAGAAGGGCCACCCCATGGAGCCCCTGGGCAACGGAAGGGCGCTGGCCCGGTCCCGGCTCAGGCTCCAGCGCAGGGCCCAGAGGTGGCGGGCAGCGACCAGCAGGAGCCCCGCGGTGGCGGCGGCAACCAGCGCGACTTCTAGCCAAGCCAGCGGGTCCCCGGAGCCCCCCGACGGCTGCGCCTCCTGGCCGGCTTGGGCTGCCGGGAGAAGAGGGAAGGAATCAGCTGGAGGTGGGGGGGGCAGTCTACTTCCCGTCCTTTCCATCGCTTGGAAGGGGAGGCTGCCTGTCCCGGCTCCTGGCTCTCCCGGCATGTTTGGGCTTGGTTTGGAGGGGGCAGCCGGGCAGCCCTTGGTTCCCCTTGCTCCCCTCCCCCCGCCGCCCCCCACCCTACGCCGGGCTCCCCATTAACGAGCTTCCAGCGCCTCTTCTCCCGGGACCCGTCGTCGGAAGCCGGTCCGGCCCTGCAGAAGAGGCAGCGTGGAGCTGGCCTGGGGTCTCCGGAGCACTTGCCCCCCTTCTCGACCTCCTCTTCTCTTCCTCCCTCCCTCTTTCCTTCCTTCCTTCCTCCCTCCCTCCTTCCTCCCTCCCTTCCTCTTTTCTTCCTTCCTCCCTCCCTCTTTCCTCCCTTCCTTCCTCCCTCCTTCCCTCCCTCATTCCTTCCTTCCTCCCTCTTTCCTTCCTTCCTTCCTCTCTCCCTCCTCCCTCTTTCCTTCCTTCCTCCTTCCTTCCTTCCTTCCTCTTTCCTTCCTTCCTTCCTCCCTTTTTCCTCCCTCCCTTCCTTCATTTCCCGAGCCAGCTGTCCACGAACCGCCCCGCATGCCCTACCCATGACCGAGCGAGGCTTCGCGGAGTCCCGCGCGGCCTCCCTTTGCTCCCCTCGGTGTTTTTAATTGTGCTTTGCTTGGGCCTTTATAGAGCTCCGCCGACCCACCTTCGCGGATGACGTCGCCGCTTGATATTCAAAGCGGGGCCCGAAACGGCTGCGATTGGCGCCCGGGAGGGTCCGCCAGGAACGGAGTGGGGAATGGAGGGGAGCGGGGGGGGTCGGCTTTCGTCTTCTGGGCGAGCGTGGGAGCATCACCCAGGTATAAGCCACAGCGGAGTCTCCCTCCTGCGGTTCCACGTCAAGGGCAACCTCTAGCCACGGAGGCGAAGGACCTCTCCTGCCCCCCCCCACACAGGTGGCCCGCTGGGGGCTCAAACACTCCGCTTGCCTCTTGTCCGAGAGCTAGCTAGGCTGCTCCGATTCCTCAAACTGTGGTCGTGTCTGGGGGAGGGAAGGGGGGGGGGTCTCCCAAAGTTCTCCCGTCACTGCTAGCCACAATTACGGGGAACAAAGCCCAACATCCATTAGCTGAGGTTAAAATCCCCAGGGGAAGAAAATGCAAGGTGGAACCAGGTTAAATTTGCAACCCATTCGAGAGAATGGCATAGCATAGCATAGCATAGCATGGAATAACTTTATTGTCACCTTTGAATGTGCACTAATTGGCATACATTAAAAACGAATTGTTTTAATTTGAGGCTGTCCACCCCAGCTGCAAGGGGGCAAGACTAAAAAAAGAAGCCCCGCATCTCTTATTGGGAGCTGAGCTCCACCGATTTCTTTAGGAGGCCTGACTAAATTTAGAGGAAAGCGTTAAGGGAGCCGCCCCGCCTAAGCCAGAGATGTTGGGAGTGCAATTCCCACCAGTCGGCTCAGAAAAGGAGATTGGGAAAAGGAGCCGATTTCCAGTTGAAGGCAGCGTTGCAAGAAAGAACGTAGGATTCGTGTCGGTCATGTCCGCTTTCAGGATACTCCATTTCCAGTCTTGGACCCTGGCTATGCTCTGTAGCCACGAAGGTTACAAAGGGAAGGTACTTTCTCAGAATTAATAAAGACCCAGGCGGATTCCTCACAGCGAGTGATTTACAGCCATTTAGGGTGTCGCCCTCCCATCGAAATAACGATCTCGAGGTTAGCTTTACGATTCCACGGTGCAGGCAGAGTAGAAGAGGTTGTAAACCACTAGTTACGAAATGCCTCCAGATTTTAAGCCGGTCAAACAAGCAAAAAAACTCGAAACAAACTAGGACGTTTGGCGAATGGAGGTTTCGTTTGGAGAAACTGACTGGATCCTCGCATCCCGCTAAACTTGAGCATCATCTCTTTTCCTTGAGCCACACGATTGGTTTGTTTAACTTTGATTCGGCGCGTCGTGTGAACCCAACTATTTTGATGATGCAGATTGAAACGACAAAGGGGGCTTCTTCCCTCGATCCCTCCTAGGCGAGCAGTTGCCTGAGCCACGCGAACCAGGTTGCTCTGATCGAGATGAAGAATTGGGGACCACTTGATAGCTATTGACTTCTCACGCAGCTGAGTATCATCCGACTAGGCTATCGGTCTCAAGGATGCCCGGTCACAGCCTAAAGGTTTATTTTCTGAGATAAAGATTCCCTTCAGGAATCCGACGATAACCAGCGCGCTCCTCCGGGTTACCCGCAAGAAAGGCGGAGGGGATCTGAAGTCTTGGTCAGCTGGAATTCGCTTCGTACCGGCCAACCGGGGACCTTCTAGTGGGGGTCGGCTGCAACCCGCACATGGCCTCCGCGGGAAGGTCTCTGCCCCTCAGAGCTTCCACTTTCGAGCTGGGATCCAGACCTTGGGATGCAGAGGGCTGCTGTATGTGCCAGAGCGAAAGGCTGGGGGTCTTAATCGCAAAACCCCGCTTCTCTCAAAGCTGCTTTTTCAAGAGGCAATTGGACCTGTCTGGTTTTTCTTTGAAGACGTTTGGCTCAGAACTGAAGAAGCTTCTTGGATGAGAAGCGAAACGTCTTCAAGGAAAAACAAAGAAAGTCCAGCTGCCTCTTGGAAAAAAAAAGGCATTCTTTGGGGCAAGCATGACCCGGATGATTGAGAATCTCCACAGGACGCTCTTCACCCTGGATGCCACAGCCCTGGCTTGGCGTACCTCCGAGGCGTCAAGTCCTCAGTCCGCCTACCAGCAAGTCGGTTCGGAGCGGCTTTGGGCCAAGAATATGCGCCACTCCGAAGCGCAAAGGCGTCACGGGAAGCCAAGTTCGCAACTGGTGCCCGGTCCCACGTCAGCCGGAGAGGACAAGCAGACAACACCCACCGACTTGAGCCAAGTATATAGTCAAAGATGGGGACGTTGCTGACCTGAACCCCCCTCCTCTCCCCTAGCAAATCACAATTCGCACCAGACTCCTAAACCTCTCATTGTTACACCCTAAAGAGCGTTGCCGTTTCCCGGAAGAGGGAAGAGGACCCCTTAACTCCCTCGCCAAAGACCTCAGATTCCCTCTCCTCCAAAAGGATGCCCGAGGCGCGGCTGGATCTCTCCGCCATCGGCTTCCACCTGAGCATACTGATCCGCCGGGCAGCTGCTCCATCCCGTCCCTAAATCCCAGGAAGGAAAACCAAAAGCTTTCATCTTTGCCGCAGGGGAAAGATGCTCCTCTGCCTCTGAAAGTCGCATCTTGGCGGATCTGGAAAGAGCCGCCAGCCGTTCAGCACCGAAGGAAACGTATAATCCGCTGGAGAAAACCTGCCCGGGGACTTTTGCCCGTAGCGTGTGGCCGGCGCATCCAGCGGCACAGCTAAAGGAAGTTCTGGGTTTACACGAAGGAGTTCAGCAGGACCATCAAATAATTTAATCAGCGGCGAGGCATGGGAAGAAAGTGGACATTCTTTATAAGTCCCATAGTTATGGGGCGTTCCCTTTATGATACATTCGCTTGTCTTTCCAGCAAGGACGCTCCCTGGCAGAAGCTGGGCACCCTGGACTCAGGAAGCACCCCCTCCCCGTGCCCCCACATCCAACACGGGCCGATCTCCCGGAGATAAAATCGAAGGGCGCCGGAGGCTGCTTTCCAAAGTCAAAGTCGGTTCGGGACACCATCGGGACTGAGTTCGAGTTAGGTAGTTTAAAGGGTACTACAAAATAGCTCCCCGCACTTTGGCTTCCCCCCCCCCCACACACACACACCTGGGAAAAAAAAGGGGGAGAAATTCTGATGTCAGGATTACTTAAGGCTTACAACATACAAATATAATGCGGAAATAGGGAAGCAGAGGGGCAAGTAGGAAATGTCCGAGTTGAGAAAAATCGCTGGTCGGAAAATGGGACCTTGGAGCAGAAAACACTAAATGGCCTTTTGGGGACTGGGGGAGAGGGGGGGAAGAGGGAGGATCTTGAGGTCTTCTCCGAAGATCGTATTTACACAATTAAGTACGGCAGAGGCAGCCCGGCGTTTGGCCTTGGCCAACAAAGGCCCGCTTCCCCCTTGGCAAGGCCTGGCCTCCTTTTCAAGGGCTGCAATGCAGGGCAAGGGGTCCTTTCCTTCGGCCGGTCCCTTCCAGGGCCTCCTTCTCGTTCTCCGTCAAATCAGCGGCCCTTTCACCGGAACCAGCTTCGCGGGAGCCCGGCTCGCCGGCGGGGTGGGGTGAGGTGGGGCGGGGCCGCTTTCACGGGTGCTGGGCGATGCAGTTGGCCAAGCCCCGGAGCTGCCGCACCACCGTCTCGATCAGCTTCTGTTTGTCGCGGTCGTTCTTGCGGAACTGAGCAAAAAGGTGGTTCTTTTTGTTGACGTCTTTCATCCTGAAAAGGGAAGCCGAGAAAAAGAGAAGGTCAAGGGAGCTCTTGGGAGAACCCCGCACGAGGCCCACTTCACGAACCCACGCTGGGGGTTCTTCCAGCCTCCACCAGAAAGCGTGGAAGCCCAAGAAGCGGCTTCCAGGAAGGGAAGGTTGGAGGGTTGGAGAAGGACGTGCCTTTCAAGGTAAGCCAGATCTCTCCTTAGTTCGTTCTAAGACCGACGAGAGTTAGGCGTTTTGGGGGGGTTCACTACCTCGGAAGGCTTGAGCCCCTCTGCTTCTTGGGGGAAATAATTAGGATGACTTGGAGATCGCCCCAATTCGGCCTATCAGCCTCGGAAATGCCTTGAAAGAGGCCAGTTCAATAAGGCGACTATTTCTATCCGAAACTCACAAGTTTCCAGTGCTGAGGAGGGAGAAGCTGTAGCTGCAAGAGGTCTGCATGCAGCCCCCAGCAAAGAAAACAAACAAAAACAAAACCGAAGCACAAGGCAAGATCTCTTCTAAAGAGCAGGAAACCCACCCCCTCCCCGCTCCATTATACAAAGAACCATCCAAAGTTTGGCTCTTTCCACGAAACTTCCCAAGAGTTCTTCTAAACTGAATCCTGGGGAATTGATTCCGGATCAAAACGAATCGAAACAATGCTTACCCTCGGTGGACTCTGCCAAACGTCCCGGCGTTGCAAGCAGGAGAGAAAGTTGGGGGGAG